ACTTTACTGCCTRTAAAGGACAGTGTAATCACTGAGTGGATCTGAGAGATAAGGAACCGTAATCTGTGCCCTCAAGGGAGGCAGGCTGTTTCATATAGATATATTTAACTCTTTGGTTTGATGAGGATTCAGACCTTCATCTGTCTTGGTCTAAGATCTCCAAAGGAAACTGCTGGGTCTGGTTGGTAAATGTGCAGTTGCACAGATGAAACCTGAATTCAATCAGAGCGTGTGAGCTTGTCATCTCTCAGTGAGAGCAGTGGCATCAAYCTTTCTTCAAGATGATTATGGGAATAGTCTTCCCATGACAAAGAGAGAAGCACAAGCCCTTTTGATTGCTAACTCAATGTGCTTGAACTCACTCAGAATGAAAAAGGAAAGGAATGATGGAAAACATCTCCCGCATTGCTATACTGACCTAGCAGCTCTTCTGGATCACATTTGGTGGGGCAATCATTATGATGCTGCTACAAAGATTAATTGAAGGGACAGGTGTGGAAAATAATTTCTGAAGTCAATTCAGCTAAGCTAACTTCACAACTGAAATCTTACCTCTTGCATTTTCTGACTGTGGAATACCAGTCATAACTTTCCCATTTTATTGTTTCTAGTAGCTTGTGATACAACGTGCATTTGACGAATGGGGCCAAACTGGGACCTGCAGGCAGGAGTCCAGCCCAGCCTGAATGCTTCTGGAGAAGAACTCTTGTGAAATTGGTTGCAATTACTTGGAGGCCTCTAAGCTCCCGTGGTGCCAAGTACAGCATCTGAAGATGACACATGGAACTGGGGATCTACCATGGGTGAAATCTTCTCTGCCTGGTTAAAGTCAAAGTAAGTCTTCACAGGTGTTGAAAGACTAATCTCATCCCATCCCTTTATATTTATCCACCCTACAACTAGGTATTCCCACCCCTAAGTAACCTGACCAAAACAATCATATGTTTGGTTTTCAGATGGTTCAGGTCCATGAGCAAGCTCAACATCTGAGTGCAAGGCAGGGGCAGAAATGTGCAGGGGAAGGTGGAGGGGAAGGCAGCTCATGGCAGCTCTGCAGGTTAGATCATTTTAAGGCCATCCCTGAGCATCGTAAATGAAGGCTGTGAACTTTCATGTACTGAAGGTGGTGGAGATCTCACAGTGCAAGCTCAGTGCTCTTGGACATGAAGCAAAGGGTTTCCACTTGTTCTTGAGCCAACAAATGCTGACTGGTACATTCTCTAAGAACAGCATTTTGCTGCACAAACCATCATGTCAGCTTTAAAGTCATGGTAATTTCTTCATGGCAAGCGAATGAACTAGCCCTCAGTGAGGGATGTGGTCACACCGTGCTTCCAACATAAGCTGATTTTGCTCTGGAAGTGAGATGCTGCATTCTCTAGCACCTACACACTGAACCTCCTTTCTTACACACACACATATAGCCATTTTTCTGCTTTGAGTCTGCTGTATTGAGAATAGCAGTAGTCTAGTCTTTTTTTTTTTCCCTCAGATTTGTTCTCCGTGGGGAATCAGTCATTTCCACCTTCTTCAGAGACAAAACCTTTCTTTCTTTTAAACCTTTTACACTGCAGAGAGACAAAGCAGTGGAAGATGGGAGTGAAATTCTGTCCTGTACAGCTTTCATGTAATTATTGAGTCCTAGTTCCAGAAGCTGTACCCCAAAAATGTACAGGCAATGCACATGTGGCATTTCACTACAAATTATCCATCCCACCTGGGTCACGACAAGAGGTCACGATGCACATGCTGAAAGAAGAGATGATGTGATTTTGAGCCAGCCTGGAGTTTCAGACTTGGCAAGTGAAATCTCATTTCACCACAGGCAGGAAAATGTTACTTGGAAAGAGGAGAGACCAGTGCACACCAAATGAAAATGTTCATTTGCATTGCCCCTGACGGAATTACAGATGTCCTCTAAAATTACAGCAAAAACATTTGTTTGCGTTACCCAAGCAGACATCATTTTCAGAGGAGAGGCTTCTTATACAGCAATGGGCACAGGCTACAAAGGTGACTGCTTCTGAAAGCTGCTGTTGTGTGAAGCAAAACAACGATAATGAAAATTGTTTTGCCTTTAATGAGAGCAGTCACTATTGACAACCACACCAGTCTTATCTAAGGAATTTTCAGCCAGTAACTACATTTGGGTGAAAAGTAGATCTTCGCTTCTTTCAGTAGCTCTCTTTTTGAGTTATTTTAAGTTCCCAGTTGGGAGGACTGGATGGGATCCAGCTAAAGCATTGCTTAAGCTCCAGCTGACTGAAGGGTTCTTGGTAAACTATTTCCACTGTTGGTGTTGCATTGGGCTGAGATGATTTGCTATGATAGATTGATTTGGACAGGCATTAACTGGGAAGGCCAGAGTATGGTGAAAAGTAAAGGCATGGCTTTGGTGCTTATGGTATTGGTTGGGACAAAGAGACTGTAGGTACTACTTGATCCTTCACAGGGAATGTAGGATACAGGTAACTATCATAATTCAACTGTATAGTAGCATTCCTGTTCAGGCTAATTTACCATCTGTGTTATAGGTAGGCATCTTCTGGGAACATACAGTGTGGATGTACAGTAGTGTGTGGTGTGTATATATRTATCTTGCAGTAAGAAAAAACATGCTTTGTCTCAGGCATAACAAGTGACCTTGAATTTTTCACATCATGGGCCCATACAGCATCTGAACATCAATCTAAAAGCAAAAGCTGTTCTCTGCAAGAAGTTAAATGCTTAAAGACATCCCCTGGTCAGTAATCATCCTAAATCAATATTGGACGAGAGAAGTAATTCATTGAAAAYATCATTCATTAATTACAGTGTGGCTTGGACCACAACATCCTAGTCTCTGAACACACTGATTTATTTATATGTGGTTACTTAAGGATATGGGAAATGGCTAGTGACAATTGTCAAGGATAGTTCATAAGGAAGGCTGCTTGCTGGTGTAAAAGCATTAATTATTGAGACAAATTTAGCTGACTGGAACAGTGCACAAATTAGCAAATGGTCTGCAACTTTTATGGAATTAATCCCATTTGCATTTGCAGATTTCAGCTCTYTGAATGCCATCTGCCTGGAGCTAGCATGAAGACCCCAAGACCCAACTGCTTTCAGGTTCTGCTTAGCCAGATAGCAGCCAGAGAATTCATTTCTTCTGCAAAAGTAAAGTTCAATTGTGTGGCACTGTTACAATTGCATTTTCCTTCTGTTACTCTCCTGTGAAGATGTATTGGATATACTCATGGAACCAGAACAATCAAGTTTGCGCTGACCCAGACTACATGACCAGTTTCACAAGAACTTAAAATCATTGTGTGATGTCTGACAAAAAGAAGTCAGGCATAATTTTTATTGCCGCAAATTGGCTACAGCTCCCACAATCTCTCACCCTTCACTTTTGTCAAAGTTGAGCACACCATTTTGGGAAGTTTTCTGACTCTTTTGTGAAGTTTTCCAGCTTTGTGGTGTTGGAGATGAAGTTTACCATGATTCTGTTATTTAAAACAGTGCATTGCACATGGTGATGTTCCTCCTTGCAAAATAGAGACCAGGAAGTAGAAGGAAAAGGAGAGTTGACATATGGTCAGACTCTGACTTGGAACAGGCAGCCAAACTACTCATGTTAAAGCCCCATCTTTTTGGATTGCCGCAAAGATGACATTGGACTCATTTGTGGTAATGCACTTACCCTCATAGAGATGTAAGAGATTAGACATCCCCCTAACTTCCTCTCAGAATTGCTTCCAGAAATAGCAGTCCTAGGAAGGGACCTTTCGGATGCTTCTTGGGAATGTGATCTCTATCTTAGATTTCTCAGTGTGATGCCAAGGATGCCCCAATATTCACCTAGCACAGAAATCAAGCACTGGGATTAACTCCACCATTACTGATTGCCAGCCTATTTAAGATTTCCTTTTCTGTCCAAATCCTTTAACTATTGTGGCTTCAGCTGGTTAAGGAAGAGAAACATGRATATTTAGTCTCAGTTTAGCACTCTAGTGTTCATCTAGCAGCAAGCATACAGAGATGTTTAATTTAAAGACTAATGTCTAAATACACTGCTGAACAGGAGATGGATAGCTCTGTACTGGTCTAAACAGCTCTTTTCTTCATAAATAGTTTTTTAATCAAACTTTTTCTTAGTCATTTAGTGAGAATTTCTGACATATCAGCTACAGAGAACCTGCATAACCCACTGGGAAGTGTGCCGAGCTGGCAGAGGGCATTCTGGCTGCCTTAGTTGGTGTATAGGAGTTCTTTAGTAGGAAAAGGCAGCTAATGCTTTGGCTCAGAATGTTGCCAATAAAATCAAAATTGCTTGGGGAGGCAGGGGAGTCTGCCATTGGGAATCCTTAAGTACGATCTGCAGGAATGGTGTAGGTTGAGCGGATCCTGTCTCAGAGCAGGATGATGGACCAGATGACTGTCAGAGATCCCTTCCAAGGGATTTCACTCTCTCAGAAGAGCTATTATCACATGAATAAAAGGTCAAATGGTTTACACCTCAGTGTGTGCGCCCTGTAACAGAAGAGTAAAAGGCTATGGCTAAATCATTTTTTATTGATAGATTACCAACTATCACTTAATATTTTAATCGGTAGGTATGGATTTCACAAGAAGGTGTAAACCATTGCAAAAAATCACTTTTCCATACATAGTGAATTTTCTTTCTTGTTGGCTTCTGACCTGAAGAAATTGGTATTTAGGTTCAGATTATAAGAAGCAGCTTCCTATAATCATTGATTTTTTTGATACCCACAGATCTGACAGAGGAGCTTTTATTTCTTTGTTGGATTGGCAGTGTACTCCCTCACACTTGACTGGTATTTTGAGATTGATTGCTAAGAGCAGGTTATTCATTAAGGTGAGGGGAAAAAAAAAAAAAAGAGAAAAGAGTCTGGGGAGACTGATACCACATATCACATTACTGATACCCAAGGTTGCATTGCTAGGATAGACTGACCCATCAGCTCAGTAATTTCTTTTTTGTTTTTCAGAATGAAATGCACTGAAGTAGATGTTTTTGACAACCAGCAGTGATATAACTTGAAAAGTACCTCTTTCCTTCTTTCTGGAAGAATTTGTGAATGACAGGTATGTGATGCATGCTGACCGAATGTTGTCATGCTTCTTATGGACAGGCAAATGAGGGAGAAAACCCTTCCTGCTACATAATCATTACTCAGCCTGCATTTCCATGGGAAATAGGTCTGAGAATAATGACTGCTGCTTTGCTGCATGGAGGGAATTTGAATGTCAGCTGCCAGTTGCAAAAGAAGCAAAACTCCCTGAAACATTCCTCAGTTTGTCTTTTCAAGTCATTGCCCAATCAGAGCAAAATTTGTCCCTATGAACAGCAATAATTTACTCCTAATCTGGGGGAGAGGCAGTGTAGACACAAAAGGTGGCTTATCATCTCCCATCGTCCTTGGTGGGTACCCGTCTTCAGGTAGTCTGGAGTCAGAAGATATCCTGGATATGTCTGCATCAGTCTGCACATGGATCGGGGCCAGTGTTCACCTAGCATCCAAGCTGAACTGTTACTCAGGTGAGAGCTGCAGGTAGGCTCTGGAGATAGACTTGGACTTTGTTTTGTCTGTTGGAGTGGAGCAGAGAAACACAGGCTGGAGATGATCCCAGTCTGCCACAGGCCTTGCCATTATGTCTTTGGGCCATGAAAGGCAGGAATTTGCCTCTGAGGGTAGAAATGGATGCCTCATCCCATGCTACCTGCAGAACTATGTGAGCAGGTATTGGAGGCATCCCACCAGCAGACACATGGGACACAGCCACAGAGCATAAGGTTTATCCCTCTTACATACCTCCTTCTCCCTAGCAATTTTGACACAACTCCTGAGGAAAGGCAAGTGAGGTCTTTAGATTAGTCAGGAACTGAGAGGATCCAATGCATGAGCATCACTGTCTGTGACTGATGATCTTCCTTTTTTATTTTTTTTCCCTTGGAATACCATCTGAGAGCTGAATAAAGTGCTTTCCACCTACTCTCAGTTCTGGTGGGCTGACCTCAGAAAGGAGTGATAGAGAAACCAGCTGGGAGTAACTAGTTATTTAAAATGGATTAAAATCATAACTGGGAAACTTCCTGAAAGGGTTACTGGGGAGTGACCTGGGAAGCACTCAGAACATTGAGAACCACCTAGCCAGGGAAGTTGGAAAAGAAACAGCAAAGCAGAGCATTCTTTACTCTATTAATCAAAAGAATTAAAGAACTGAAATACCCCCTGGAACTTATGGAAAATCAGGTCAGGAACAGAAATATTCATGCATTCACTCTACTGGAGAGTAAGGAATTTCCAGACCCAATTTCTTTTGTGGAAACCTGGCTCCCTGAGGCTCTGAACAAGATGCAGAGAATGTCCCACTGCATGTGGTGTGCTGGTTCAGGATCCCTGCCAGGGCAATAAGTCCCAATAACAAGCACAGCAAAACTGAGCTGCCAAATTTCAGATGTTCCTGGGAAAGGGAGGCTCATGCCTGTAGAGAGAGCAATGAGGAAGTGTGGGTTCATTTGCTTCCAGATCAGTGTGACTGTCCTCACTTGTTCTGCCTTTGCCTCAGATAACAGGCACTCAAGAGCAGTTTCTCATTGTTTTAAGAGCTATACTAACATGGAGCCCAAGCTCCTAATTTTGAGATATGGGAGAGCAGATACACAGTGGCAGAGACAATTAATGGAAACAACAGATGGTTTTGGCCATCATGAGAGGCAATGCCTCAGTTCTTGTATAGAACTAGAAGAAGACATGAGACCCTTCTATGGAGGATGGCCTTTGAGTCTGTTTTTTTTCCCTTGGTCCTTGATGTTGTTTCTTTCCTACTCTTTACTTCTGAGAGTTTCCTCCTGCATATTTCTTCCCTTCTACAATTACCCTTTTTCCAAAATATTGTAATGGCACTCCATCTGCATTTTAATAATCTTATTTTAAAAAAATATTTTGTTTTTTAAGATAAGAGTACAGTTGACCTGTTACTGGCAGGCTGTATGCTAAAGAGGTTCTGTAACAGGGACATCTGAGCTTTTTAAAAACAGGGACATCAGAGCAACTATAGTGGTATCTCTGCTTGTCAGCATGGGCATACTCTGGTCAGGTTAAACCTGATTTAGAATTTGCTATATCAGCCAAACTTCTCTTGGTTTTGTAGCATCAACAGTTGTATTCTACTTTCCTCCTAGAATATTAGACTTTTTTTGTCTTGATCTCTTCCTTTTGCTGTGAGGAATCATTCTGTGAAACTGCCAACCTCTCTCTGGTGAATATGAGGATGTTTAGGCCATCTCAGAGGGTATGAAATGGGCGGGGAGAATTTATGAGCCGTGTACTGGAATTGATAATGACCCAGGAAAGCAGCACCGCCGTCACCAGTGCCTGGCAAATGTCACCAGGGTACAGAGTTCTTGTTTGTGGTGCAGAAGCTCATGTGCTGCATGCTCCGTGGAGGCAGGTTGTGGCAGGAGCAGGGAGAGGCCTCAGCAGCTCCATCATGCCCAGGACAGACTGTGACTCAGAGAGCAAACAGAGCTGAACGCTTAAGCCAAGGCCGGCCTTGCTGCAGTAATCCTGAAACTTCTGTTTGCATCCTGAGGGGATTTAGCAGGAAGGCAATAACCAGAGGCAGGAAAAGGGGACACGATGTYTGTCTCCTTTTGGTATAAATATACCTCCAGAATAGCATCCTTCAGTGCTAGTGTTCCCAAAAGAGAGAAAGCGTAAACAAACCAAATTATCACAGGATAGCCAGAAAATAGTAGTAGTAGCAGTAGTAATTCTTTCAACTAATCTCTTATTTTATTTTGCAAAAGGGATTGCTTTGGCCTGACGGGAGCATGCAGCAGGGACGATGCTGTGCTACCTAAGGAAACAGCACCTCCTGCAATTCTTTGATTCTCCTTCCTCTCTGGTGTCCCATTAGCATTTTGTGAGGCCAGTGCAGGTCACACAAGAGGGAGGCTGTGCAGGGATCCTGTATTGATCTCATGGCCCAACTAAGTGAATCCAGCTCCTGGGAATTGAGGTGCTTTCTGTGAAACAGCTTATGCTAACTTTGTTGTAAAGGACATGCTATATAAACTTAGCTTGATCCTCTGGTAGACACTATGCTAAAGACGAATTATCAGTGGGTGAAGGCACACAGAAAATACCCCAGAGACCAGCTTATGTTGGTTTTCTCATACAAAAAACAAACAAACAAACAAACAAACAAAAAAACACCCTTCCCTACAAAAACTATTGTTTAAAAAATATAGTTCTTCAGAATGGCATTATATTATCTAAGTTCTGATTACTGCCTTTGGTGCAATAATTGCTACACTATGTAAAAAAAAGAAAAGATATTCTTCATCTTTCACCATTTCTTACATTAGACATTTATCATATTTTCTTATTACTTTGTGCAAAAATTCTGCATAAAATTGCCTAGCCTCCAGACACTGTACTTTACAGGTATTGTAAATGTTAGAGGATCCACCTGAGAGCTCTGAATGTTTTTACAGGGATAAATATAGGGGGAAGAATGGTCTGTAATGAATATCATTCAACATAGCACATCTTCCGTCTGTGAATTGTCCATGAAAAAGAGATTGTAATTTCCTTGAGCTGTTTGCTGAACCACTTCTGGAAGTTATTCTTCATTGGCAGCATCTTGGAGAGCAATTTCCTGGGAGCATTTCATATTCAAAGTTTGCAACTTGAGCTATTTTTATTAGGTGTGTCAGTTCCCTGGTAGAATCTGTTCCCTGGTAAGATGAGTGTAACTTCTGAATTTGAGGTTTCTATTCTGAGTAATCCCAGTTATGACTCTTATGAATCCAAGCTATGAATTTTGATACTTTTAAAAAAATCTAGAAATGTTGGCCAAACATGAAAAAAGAACAACAAGTTTGAAGCAAAATCATTAAAACTTTCAAAAGAATATCAGGGCTGCTCTAAGTTCCTACAATCAGCCCGAGTGCTTTCACTATAATAGCTGACTTGTGATCTCCGACTTGTCATCTTGGGTCTAATGGTTTTTGGAAAACTGAATTATTGAAAAGCTGGGGATAAAATTAAACCTATTAGAGGTCAGGCGTAAGCAGAAAATTCTATCTCTGGTGGTGATCTGGTTCTTCGTGTGACTTATGCAGAATTACTTAGTGCTTGACCCTGATCTTGCTCTAACACAGCCATTCTGCTGATTTGGACAGAGCCTTTCCAGGGGTGTTTTATCTCTGCTAGCAGCAAATTCATTTCTAAACTTACCTCAGTTGAAACAGTTGGCTGGCTAGAGATTAGCCTGAAATAAGRTCACCTGGAAAGAATGGCCTAAATCCTCCAAGAGAGATGGTTCAAATCTAAAGCTCCAATGGAGRATCTAGTGGTGGACAAAAACAGAGGAGAAAGATTTATGTTTCTGTTGGCAGTGTTTTCTAAAATTGTTCCAAAATGGTTTATATTGCCAAGGATTGTTTTTGTTCGGCCTGGGCTTGGCTTTTCCTCTTCATGTCCTCATGATAACGGCTCATGATGAAGGTGGAGTGTGCAAGAATCAGTTGGAGGATTGTTTTTCCCCTCGCAGCTACTTGGAGCTGCTCCAAGTTGTGCTGTGCTTTGGAGGAAAGATGTCCCTGAAGATTCAGGAAGTGAAGCTAAGGGTCAGAGATCATATTCCTACAGAAAAAGTGGTTCACTCCTGCCTCTCTCAACTCGAGATGCAAGTTGTTGGTGAGGATCTGGATTCACCCCAGAGCTCCTACTAGTGGATGCTGTTGGACTTCCTCAAACTAAAGATTGGTAGTTAAAAAGGCAGACAAATGAACTACTTCGACACAGTAATGATTTCATAAATGCACAGGTCTGAGTAATGATTCCTTGTGTTATGCCTTCCTCCCACTTGCATTAAGCCATCACGCCTGGGTAATCTAACACTCTGCCTTAAKCCCTCCTAGTTTACCCGTTCTGCACTGAGAAATTCTGCTAGTATTCAGCAAATTGCTGACCCCTATCAAGTCCTTACAAGAACAAAATCATTCACTCTATTTATATGAGTCATCCTACAGGCTGGATTTATTTGGGAGACAAAGTGTATGCACCTGTCTTTATGTGGTGGTAATTTTGTTGTGTTATGTCAGGGGGAGTCTGCTTAAAGACGGTGACTTTCATGGGCAATTTGAGTGGGGTTTGACCATAGAACAGCACAGCTGGCCAGCAAGCAGGGGTGAAAAGGAAAAAGAATGAGTCTGGAAGTACCTTTGGTGACGTTTTTTGTTCCTAATAACCTATATTAAAAAAAAAAAAAAAAAAACAATTTTGAATAGGAGAGGAAAAAAACAGTCATTGGTTGCATTAGGAATAACAAGGTAGTTTACCTTAATATTTAGAGAGGAGGTGGTATTTTTATGGGAATTATCCTAGGGAAGGTGATTGTTTTTGCCGTCAGTTGTTTTTCTGCTTTCCTGTTGATCCTTTCTTTTTTCCAGTTCTGCTGAACAGAACCAGAAAGCAGTGCGAATCATATTATTTGTTAATGTGCCAGAGTGGTGAGTATAGAGTTTTTGGTCTGCAAAGAGCGCAAGCACGCAATCACAAAGATTGTTATTTGCTAATCAGTTCTTTATATGTAACTTTCAACAGGAATTCCCGTTTGTCATGTTCAATTCCTTTCTGAGCTCAGACTTGGGGGCATATAGATGATTACTCTCACTTGGAACGATTCCAGGTATTCCACTTGACATTGCACTGCGACTATACCAATGTTTCTGAAATCTGAGGAAAAAAAAAATCGAGTTCACCAAAAAGGTAAAAGGAAAAAAAAAAAGTTTTGTTTCCATTAGTATCTTCATGAAAATCACCCTTTAGCATTACTCAGGAAAAACAGTTCTCCATGGCAAGTTAGGACAGTGCAAGTGCAAGAGAATGGAATAGGCTCAGGATAAGCTCTGGCTTGTCGCAAACTTTTGGTGACCCAGTAAATGGCTGGTCTTAACTCATCATATTGCAGCTATTATGCAAATATACCAATAAATAGACAGCCAGGCTTGCTTGTGTCTTAGACACCTCGTGCATCAGCCCAGTAGATAGGAAATGGTTTAATGAAATTAACTACAAATATTGCCTCCTTTATTTTTTTCTTTATGTTATGACATTAGCTACCTGTGATACTGTCAAGTTCCTTATTTATTTATTTATTTGTATCTTTTAAAAGATGGTGAGACTTTTAAACAAGTGATTCTATAGATGAAGACAGCTTGTGTCCTTTTATCTGGAGTCCTGATGAGACTTTTGGATCTGGTTGGACCCTATCAGAATTCCCTAGCTGGAGTTCAACAGGTGAGGTTTCCGTATGAGGTGAATCATGAAGTAAAAACAYTGAAATGCCACAATAATATTTTTGKTTTTGATTGAAAACACTTTTTCCGTTTGATCATGTGGGAGATATAACGTGGTTATTCTCTGTGCAGCCAACTTTGGATATATGTCGTGATATTTGTGTGCCCTCAACACCCCACAGGTTTTGTCTGTATGGTGCAAATTTTCATTTATCATTTGATAAGGCCTTGTTTTAATATGTCCATCATCCGATCTGTGAAGATAAGCTTAGTCACTGAAGCCACCAAGCAAAAGGTTTGATTGCTGAATACCTAGGGACAGAGCTTGCAACCAGCCAATTGATGAGAAAACACTGTGATACTTACTAGTCACTGCTCAGAGTCTGTTTAGAGTGACATTTCCATGAATCAGGAGCAATTTGTCAGTGATTCACTAGCCCTAGAAAGAGCTAAATTCATAGCATGCATTATTTGTAGTGAGCACTTTGATGCATTCAATAAGTATAAAGAGTTGCTTCTTATTGGATGCAAGGGAAGGAAGAAATCAAAGTTTTCACTTAACACTCTTTTCAGTTACATGGTGACATCAAAATTTTGTCAGACTGAGATGGGGCCTTTCTCCCCCTAAATTAAATGGTTAAGTTTAGATCATTTCTAGACCTGTGTTATGTACAGTGAAATACTAGCCCCACTGAAATTATGGACAAAATTTCCGTTCATTTAACCTTATGTCAAAGGATTGATTTTTATTGACACACTGGGGAGCAGTTAATTATTTATCCATCAGCCTGAGAGAGCATTTTGAAAGGATTTATTTAAGGTGCTGTTCTTTAAGAATCAGTTATCCTGAGGCATGTGATACCTTATACAGTTCACTATGCTTAAATACCTTCTACTCAATTAGCTCATGTTTTTATTCAAGAGAGGAGATGGATAAATCTCTTCATCTGGCAATGCTTTCAGAGTGTGTCAAGCCAAAGGGAACCTAATTAGAGGGAAGGGAGAAAAATGTGGAAATTATTGTTTGCAGAGGGCACAGTGGAGAGGAAACTTTGTTGTGAGCAGTTCTCTCTCGCATTAAACATGCTGAGGCTGTATTCCTCCGACCAAAAGAWTAATGATGCCAAGCGAGACATTATGCCCATGTCTCAAGGGTCACAAGCAAACTTCTTCCTTTCTCATCTGTTTCTCGTTTTACCAGCCACTAAGGTATTTAYTTAGGAATTAATACATATCTAGGTTTAAGTAGATTAAACCCAAAGCATGTCACTGTTTGCTGTATACATCTGCTCTCGTTAGTATTACTTGTTGCTGCTGGCCTGGAGCAGCTTAATTAGACTGATGGCTTAGTTCTTCTGTGGAATTGGTTCCTGGTCTCAGAGGGGCTCCTCAGATAGCTGTGCACAACTGGTCTTCATCCTGGTGGCTGCTGAAGAGTAGCCAGGACTCACTGGACTCTGTCATCTTGTCAGGTGATTTCTCCTGAAAGGTGAAGGAGAGTGCAATAATTCCACTTATGTTAGATCTATTTGGATTTTTTTGTTGGTGGTAGTGTTTTCATTTTTTGAGTTCTGTTTTTGGACTAGAACGATTCATCACATTAGTAAGTAGTGACACTGTGAATATACTAGTGACTTAGGCATGGGGTACCTTGTTTGGTACTCAAAATAAGTCAAAAGCTGGTGGCCCAGGCACTGTGGGATTTTTAACAGAGAGCAGAATTCGAGACTTGCACATCCTAAGTATCTTCCTTAGCCATTAGTCATGGAGATAGTCTTTTCTGAGGGCAGTCCATCCCAGCAGCTAAATAGAGAAATCTGTGCCCAGATCTCCTTGAGATAGTCAGTAAAGGGAGGAAAGACTTTTTCAAGGACTGACAGGAAGAGAACAACTTGGGAATGGCCCAAACATCTCAGTTGCTTCGATTTTACTAAATAATATAGGTATTCTATTCTAGGTAGAGAGYGACTCACTTTTTAATGGCTTAGGAGCTGGTGGGTGATCTGAGCCTGACTGACAGGACAATCAACTCCAACTTGGGCCAGTCACTTGATGAAGTGACACTGTTTCAAGGGGAAAGCAAAGCAGCTGTCATTTTTTAAGCACTTTTGGTCTCTCTTCCCTGGGAGGAAAAGAAATTCAACCACAAAGAAACTGGAGTAATGTGGTTAAAGTATTTAATTACCTGGGGCTTGTGGTGAAATCTGAGACCTTGGCTTTGCTTTCTTTCCGAGGTAGAAGGCACAACTTAAGGGCCATTTTCTAAGGCCCTCACAGCAAAGTGCCTTTCTGGGAGCCTCTGGGCTGGGCTGCATGGACACCCAGTATGGGCCATGCCCCCGGTGCACAGAGACACAGTGGTCTGTGCTGTGCCAACACATGGTGGCACAACTCCTGCCCATAAAAAGTATAAAAGGAGTATAAAAAACTCCTCCAYCATAAAAAGTATTTATGGTGCATATAGAATCAATATGGTTGGAAAAGACCTTCAAGGTCATTGAGCCCAACRTTGAATATAGGGGAACTCTCCTTTTTGTTGCGGCCAAACAGGCTTTGGCAAGTCATCATCAAAGCACACTATGGGTTGGCCCAGAAAGAGTGGGAAGAGGCACTGGTGGCTGGAGGCTACAGGAAAGAATGCAAGGGGCTCTAAGTGCCTCTAAATGGGCAAGAAAGRGAAAAACAGGAGTGGGACAGACTTAAAGGACCCCTGCTAGGTTGAACTGCCTCCTACTGACTTGTTTGAATGAACCTTGTATTTTACCCATTTTCTATTTCTAAGAAGCTTCCCCCTTATTGCTGCCTTGGCTATCAATACAGATAACCTGTGAAGCAGAACTGGAGTATGGAGTCCACAAGGGGGATGTGTTTGTTTGGATGAATACACCTCCCACATACAAATGCAATAAAGGATAAAACACCGTCATTTGCTGACTGCTCTGCTCTGCTGTCACGGCCCAAGAACAATCACCCAAACTCATCCATGTGTGAAAATTACAATACTGGAAAAGGCTCCTGTGTTTGCTATGCGTGATATTTCCTTAAAATGGCTTTTCTCTGTAAGTGGATACAGAAATAACTCTTCAGATTATGGATTGGAGCAAGGAGTTGTATTAGTTTAGTAGTGTACCTTCATTGATTGGCATCCCCCAGCTCAGGAGAAATGTTTTTAACCAGCTGGAACGACGCAAACCGTTGCAAAACCTACTTAGGCTACACTCAGAGCATTCAAATGTAAAAGGTATTTTGGGAACCAAAACATGATTTTTAAATGCCTGGGGTTAGGAATGGTTATTATTTATTGTTTGAACATAGCAGCACCTACTGGCTCCAGCCAGAAATAAGGACTTTGCCACAGTAGGTGTGAAAAAGAGTAAAAAGAGGTTTTTTTTCTCCCTGAGGCCTGGGTCTGGGTGGGAGGCAATGGGAGAGGGAGGCGAGGAGGACAAGCACAGTGCTGTGGGATCAAGGGACTGTTGATGCAGAGCACAGTAATGGGGTGGGCACAGCTGGCTGGAGAGCGGCCATTGCCTGTGCTCATGAAAATGAAATAAATGAGAGATTATTATTATTTTTTTTAATGGGAAGTGCTTTCCAAAAAGCTCACCTTGGGAAAAAGAGAAGCTAAGCTGTTTGGCTTGGCAGTTACCTGGATGGGAAACTTGTGCCAGCTTTGCTCCCTGCCTGCAGGATGCGGATGCCCTGGCCACGTCCTCTCCCAACCGGCCTCTCCGGCAAAAAGCCAGGAGCAGAAGCAGGTCCTGGGGCTCCCCTTCTCTTCCATTTGCCCAGCCATGCTCCTCAACAGCCAAGGCTCTACCTTGCCTCACTAGAAACCAGGATTTGCAGAGAAATTTGGGCATTGCAGAAGTGAGGAGCACGGTCTTCCCACTTTCTTCTGAACGTGACTGAAAATACTTTCATTTGCTGGAAAACCATTGGCCATTCGTCTTCTCCCCCTTAGAGAATAACACTGAACCTTGCACAAGAGTTTGATTCTTTTTCTCTTCTTTTTATTTTTCTTTTCCTACAACAGAGAATGGAAATTCTCTGCAACGCTGATTCTTTTCCCCATGTAGTTTGTCTGTTTATTGCCAAAAGAACATTTTTTTTTGATTGGAGAATCATTCTACTGGAAACCTTTGTGGCCAGAGTGGTAAAAGTGCGAAGTCAAGAAAATAATTTTTGCACCAATAGATAAGAGAAAGTCAAGAAGAGCTTTGTCTCGTCCAGGAATTGGGGAAAACAAGGAATAGTTTAAATCTCTATTCAGTTCCATTTTAAGATCTCTCTTTTAGAGCTGTCTCTATATAATGGCTCAGAAATGTCCAGGGAAGTTCTATAATTTCTGGTTTCTATCTCAGACCAAATCTGAAAGGAGCAAACAATCTTACAAAAAACCTTATTCTTATGGAGAGATTTCCAATTTCCTATGTTTTCATCCTCAAGAGGTTTAGATAAAATAGCCAGATTTTTCCTTTTTTTTTTTTTTTTTTTAAACTGAAGCCAGACTTAAAACCCGCTGAAGTTTTCCCATCACTAATTAGAGCATGTATGTGAAATTATTTGCTGTGAAGGTGAAGTGTAGTGTTAAATTAAAATCAGATGCACCATGAACAACWCTCTTCTACCTTGGCAAGTGTCTGGAGTTGGTGCTCTGAAGAATAGTTTTCATTTTTTCACACTGCAGTTCTTAATGATCTAGATGGATGCAAAAGAGGGAATTTTTATATRTAGATATGAGTTATAACTCTGGAGAAAAAAAAAAGTCAATTTTCTTGTGCACGCAGGGAAAGATATCTTACTGTTYGTGTCTCGTGCAAGCAAAGATGCCAGTTGAGGGCAGCTTTTATTTTTAGCCCGTTGCTGGCAGGATGTGAGCAGAGYGGTATGAGGCTTGTCCGCCATCCAGGGAGTGAAGGCTGTGTGTGCACTGGGCTCCTTCCCTCCTGCCCTGGCCATTCTCAGGCAGCAATTGAGCTTTCTTGGCTGCAACTGCAGCCACAACACGTTTTGCCTAATTGGACTTCCGTTCCTCCCGTTAACCAAGTGTATTTTCCTCGTAGGAGCTGCAAGCCAAGTCCAGTGTCAGAGAGAGCTGGTACAGATGCTCCAGAGATGAAACACCAGGGTCTGCACTTGGCAGCCCGCCCGGTTTTATTAAGAAACACATTACGACATTCATTGACTGCATGTATGGTTCACGTGAGGGAAAGCCAAGCATCAGTCTTGTATCTCCACCCTGAAGCCAGCTGCTTACTTGCACATCCAAGTGGGCACCTTGCTCTCTATGACTTGAGTGAAGAGCAGGTTCCCATGCCAAGAGCTGGCCTGGCTGGTGCCCAGATGGTGACTGCTGTGAGGGAGAGTGGGTGTCCCCTCTCCATCAGGTAGGTACAGTGTAAAGCTGGTGCATTCAGGAGGGWGCATGGGAGGAGATTTGCCTCTGGAGCTTCCCACTGCAGTTATTCTCACATGTTTTACAAAGCCATGTGTTTTGCTTTTGCATCTGTGTTCTATTCAAAGAGCCAATGCTTTGGGAGCAGAAAAAGGTAGCAGTCCAGTCTACTGTTTTCATCTCAGGAATATTATATAGCTCTTTTGCTTTAATAAGACAAACTGGGTGTGCTGGTTTACCCTAGTTGAGAGTACCCTCATTCTGAAAACATAGTAGGCTGACATTAATCTAATTTCTTTGTCACTAAACTTGATTTGTACCATATAAAGTTCATTAATGTACAACAGGACATCTCCTTCAAAGTTATAGCTGGTGAATGGCTCTGCTGGTGATTTTTAAAACAGAATTTTGCAAAAAGACATAATTTTTGATTACTTTTATATGGCAACAAAACTTCTTCAGTAACAAAATCTGGTGGCTTGGAGCTGATGTTAAGCTACTTCAAATTAAAAAGAGGAAAGGGTACCTAGGCACAGGAAGAACTTAATAATTACAGAGGACTTTCCATTCCTCACCATTTGAAAATTATTATCTGAAGGGCTTAGTCTGGGGTGAATAAAAATAAATCCTTGACTTAGAGCTATGCTTTTAAGAACTGTGAATGGTACATGGGAAAGCTGTCGCTCTTCTTTGTATTGCCAACATCACTAGCCTCTGAAAATGGCAAAAGAAATCTGGTACCCTTTGCTCAGTCTGAAAATGTCATAAGAGAAGTAGATTCAAGTCACTCTGTGATCATTATTTTTAGTGAGGGAATTTTAAAAAGAAACCCATCTATGACCTAAGTTTCTCCGATATTGGCAAATGTTTTGATCTCAGTGACACAAATTATTACGAGCTTGGAATTACCTCAATTATTCTCCATTACTACCTGAGGGCTTGCTGCTATGGTGGTTAATAAGCCAAATCCTAAAGTGTCCTTTGCATTTGYGAGAAAGGTCAAGTGCAGTTAAGAAGTGGTGAATCCAAGCACAGGAGCGGGACTATTTGTAAATGAAGGTCATGTCATTCAAGCACTGTTGGGTTTGAGCAGAAGATGGGCACTGCCTGATGGGATCCAGGCTCAGAGACCTCTGGAAAACAAGTGCTCCCTTGATGCTACCTGCATTGCAGAAGAGCATCTAGTTGCTGCAGCTCCCTGAGGAATAGCGGGTGATAACTGGGTTTGGGTCTGGGTAACATGAGCAGACACAAAGTGAAATCACATAACTGCATGGAATTTGAAATTTTTGTGTTACTTTTCTATAGGATGGAGAAATTATCTCATATATGGACAAGCTGTTCTGGTGCATAATTACCTTCCATGTTACAAACATGTCCCATACCTACAACTCTGTCTTTAARTTTGTATAAGTTATGGGATTGGGGTACACTGTGTGAATCTGACTATAGAAATACTCTCACTAGGAGATCAAGCCATCTCTTAATGTGACTAAGTTATCRTGAGCTTCCTCTTGGTAGCCTTCTAGTTTTTACTAAATCTCCATTTAATTTTTCAAAACAAATTTTGCATTGTGGATGCAAAACTGCACACAGACTATCTGGAGATGGTAGCTCATGTCAACAGAGTYAACTTTCTCAAACTTGTTCATCTCTTAAAAAAGACAGCATCAAGTTTCTTTCTGACCAGGCTTGTTTTCCATAAAATCATCTTGATTGCATTAATTATGCTACTATCTGTTAATTATTTCCTGATTTTATGCCATATCAGATTTTGCGTGCAGTCAATTTCCGATGAGCCAACTGAGAGTTATGCGAGTGGTATCAGTGGCCTCTTTCTGTACTGGCACAATGTCATCTCCCCAGCCTCTGGGACTCCGTTAATCTTCCTGGAGCATTTAAGAATCGAGATCAGTGGCTCAAAAACTTCTCCACAAATTCTCTTGAAAAAAAAGCTGTGCTCTGCATTGTCTCAGCCTGTGGACAAGCTTGGGAGAATTACCTCTTTGCATGCAAACCCCTTTGCATGGGACTTTTTGCACTTAGTTTTCATTATCTAAAAGCCAACATCTAGCCTAAGCTTGTCAGACTGGCTCTCTCCAATGTCCGTGGAGAGCAGAAAACACTGCCAGAGGGTGATTCTTTCTATCCAAGGGAGCCTAGACTTCTGCAGATGCCTATCTGTCTCTACTGACAAAACGGAGCAAGTCCAGTTGTTTCAGAGTATGTGGCTGCTGGTTAGTTTGTGCTAGAGGTAGGATGTGTAACATGTGCCCCAAATCCCATGATCCCTGARGAATTCCCTGAATTTCTGCCTCCCACTCTGTGACTAAGACAGCCACCAGATCGTGACCCTTGGAGATTTCTTAGATAGGTTCTCATTTAAGTCACCAGTCACCATATCTTATTGGCGATCTTTAGGTGTAGTTACTGGTTACAACACATTTCAGGGCTGATTTCAGTTCCCCTAAAGCCTGATTTGGCTCTTTTTTTTTTCCTGTTTTTTTTTTTCTTTATTTCTTTTATAATCTCCCTTTGCTTAAAATGAGGTGCTTTCAGGCTGTAGAGGCTTTTGTGTACTTTTCTGCCTAGTTACAGACAAACACACAAATAGGCATATATATGTCTGAGTTTGTTGGAGRTGTTATTCTAAGAAATAATAGAAATCAGTGATTCCTGGCACATTTTCCACCAGCAGAGTATCATTCCCCTGTAAATAAACACATTAAGCAGGCGGCACTGTGGCTGTACGCAGTCTCCCTTGCACATCTCAGCCTGTCATTGCAAGTCCTGAAGGAAGTTCTCCAGAGAAAAAGGCCTTTTGTCTCCTCCTGGACTGCCTAGTTTGCATAATCTGGTTAAATAAAACTAATACACACATGGACAAAGGATGGGGGATGGAGGGAGGGAATGGTAGTATAAGTACRGCTGAGTGTTCTGCCTAATCTGACAACAATATAATATATCGTTTATTTGTGTACACTGGAACAACTCCTTGGGACTGCGGCCTGGTCCTGTTTCCCAACAACGCTGTCATTAAAACAATGGGCACTGTAATTACTGTGATAAAAAGCCACTATTGCTGCAGTTTTTCATGTGGCCCATGTGCACAAGGAAGAGGTTTTCTTTCTAATCTCCCGGYGCAAGGAGCGCAGGCACCAGAAGGCTCCTTCTCCCACTGTCTCTGCACGTACAAAAGATTTCTCCACACCGGAGACGGCAGTGTGAGAGCTTTTGTCTTAAATGAAAGGGCATAATACAGGCCTTCTGCCAGCGCTGGCTCCGAATGAAAGCGGAGCCTTTATGCCCCAGCTAACTGTTGAACTGCAGACAATACTGTAAAATCTGCACTCTCCTATTACCTCAGCTGCCTTCGCATTGCCCGAGTGCCACCGAGTCCTGAAAAGCAGCAGGCTCCATGCGTGGGGTTGCATCTCCGCCGCGGTGCAGTGGGAAATCTGCTGGCCCAGCACAACCACCCTGGTGAGAATGGGACGGGCGGATCGGGTCAGAGATAYGATTAATACCTTGAAAGCGGTTGCTCCAGCTATTTCTGCAGCTGGGCCATTTCGTTCTAGCAAACTGCAATTTAGCTTCTCTTCAGCTCAGTTTTTATTTAAAACCCACTCTTTTTTTTCAGATCATTTCTTTGCAGGGAGCCCACTGCCTGGTTTGTGTAGGATCACTGCAGGAGATGGCCCGGAGGCAGGCATTTTTGGCCTGACCTTCGTTCCAAACTGAGGCATTTGAAATGAGCCCAGGAGCTTGTAGAAAATCTGCAAACACAGCCTGTACAGCCAAGATGATGGCTAGTCTCAGGCAGTGGCTCTCCACTGCCTTGAGCAGTGCTGCATCGATCTTCACCCTCTGAGAAACTGGAGCTCCATCTTTTGCATGTTTCCAAGTGCTTAAGTGGTCACTTAAATACTTCAGGGGCCTTAAATGGGGATAGAGTCAGCTTGTAACGATTTTAGCTTCCATAAAGCGTCTGCCTTTGGGCTCTTGCAGCAAGAAATAATGCCTCTGTTAGATATGGAGGAAACTGCTCTCCCTGGACACGTTGGTCACTGAAAAGAAGGCACGCTGGCAGCAAAACTTCCCTGCTTCTATAAAGTGAGTGACTGCTGGCCGGTGTAGGGACAGGCATGTTCTTATCCAATGAGAATTGCAAAGTAATGCCCGTACCCTCCTTTAGAAAACCCTTCAACCTGCTGCAAGCGTAACGGGTGTAAATTGAGTGCGTCATGTGGAGCAGAAACACCTACCCCTTCTCCTGGAGCTCCTCTCCCCTCGTTTGACAAGGTACAAACAGCAAGCCCGCTCACATTTGAGCGGAGAGCACCAAACATTGCATCAAAAAGCAGGAGCCATCCTGTTCCAATCTGCTGCTTGTCAGGATTTGACAGCGTTGTGAAATATAAATGATCTCTGAGATAGCAATGCCTGCCTCAGTCGCCGGTAAACAACTCCCCTCATTAAAGAGATGCTTTAGAAATGACAGCACCAAATTATGCTAATATTTTTTTGTGAAATGCTCTCCTGCCGGAGCTACCAAAGCAGTTTTGCCATTCAGCTGCCAAAAACATTTATTTGCAAGCAGAGGCCCTCCCAATCAAAAAACAGAAGCCATTTAGCAATCTCCAGCGGGGATAAAAGTGGACCTGTTGGGGCATAAGAGAATGGATGGTGAGGAATCAGAATTTTTATCATG